CGCTAGGGCGGGCGGCCGGCCGTCAGGGCGCTAGGGCGGGCGGCCGTCAGGGCGCTAGGGCGAGGGGCGCACGGGCGCTAGGGCGGGCGGCCGTCAGGGCGCTAGGGCGAGCGGCGCTCGGGCGCTAGGGCGGGCGGCCGTCAGGGCTCTAGGGCGGGCGGCGCTCGGGCGCTAGGGCGGGCGGCGCTCGGGCGCTAGGGCGGGCGGCGCTGGGCGCTAGGGCGGGCGGCGCTCGGGCGCTGGGGCGGGCGGCCGTCAGGGCGCTAGGGCGGGCGGCCGTCAGGGCGCTAGGGCGGTTGGCGCTCGGGCGCTAGGGCGGGCGGCCGTCAGGGCGCTAGGGCGGGCGGCCGTGAGGGCGCTAGGGCGAGCGGCCGTCAGGGCACTAGGGCGGGCGGCCGTAAGAGGAGGGAGCGGCGGGAGCGCGACGGTAGGGGCGACACGCAGGGTCGCTAAAAAAAACGCGCGCCTCGGGGCGCGCTTCGGTGGGCCCTAGGAACAGTCCCTAGGAGGGGACCTGCTCTGATTCCATGAGAAGAATTGAACGAGAATGAAATGAGTATGAACGAAGTGAGTACAAATAGGAAACCCTAATTGTGTTGTACCCCCTATGGGATACCCCACTATAGCCTACACAAACAAGTAAGCTATATGTTCTGACAGTGTAGTCCCTATTGTGCACGTTGGGAGAATCGGCCGACGCGTGCAGCTGGGGGTCGGTACCGTACCATGCAGCCAAACACTCGTAACATTTTTTTGTTGCCCAATTTCCCTGTCCACAGTAGGTGCGGTGATGCGTTGTTCGGGAGCGATGATGACGAAAGCAAGTTGTGCAGTAGGACAGCATGGTCCATTGCCTCAGGCCACTGGTGGTTGGGTAGCCGCATGCCACGTAGCAGTTTGCGCATGGTGTTCTGGAGAGTCCTGTTCATCCTTTCTGCTACACCTTGCTGTTGATGAGCGTAGGGAAGAGAGAGGAGTCTCTTGATGCCTCTCTCTGCCAGGTACTGTATGAACCTCTGTAATGTGTATTCTCCTCCTCCGTCTCACTGGAAGCTTTTCATCTTCACTCCTAACTCTCGTTCTGCTATTGGGAGCCAAGCGACGAAGGCATCAAAGGCCATGTCGCGACTCGGAAGGTTAAGACGCCCCTTGACCGGGCTCGCAATTGTACAGTATATCGCTGTAGACTTTCTCCAGAGGTGCGTATGCCGGTGCACTTGGGCTGTGGTGAGGGACGAAGGGCTGATGTGGTAAGTCGGCTTCGGGGCAGGTGAAGCATGTTCCTCGCATTCGTTGAAGTTCTCTTCCGTCGGGTAGAAGCAGAGAGTCTTTGTCGAGTACGCCTGCTCTTATCGTGTTATTTAACGTTGTGTAGCTTCGGTGTCCCATTCGTGCGTGCCAGATATCTTCACCAGCTCGATGTCCGGGTGAGCGACGGTATAAGTCGGAGTTGGAGTAGAAGCCTGCGGTGAAATTTGTGCTTCGATGGACTTCTCGTGGTGTTGGATTCAGTTGCTGCGCAGGAGTCGGTGGAGTATTGTTGTCGGTTGGGGCTGGTGCAGTAGGGGACCCACGATTGGTGCCGATGTTATCTCTGCTGCTGCCGATGTTGTCTCTGCTGCTGCCGATGTCATCTCTGTTGCTGCCGATGTTGTCTCTGCTGCTGCCGATGTTGTTGTCAGTAGATCTGCACTGTGGATGCCCGATTGATCCTGGAGAGGGTTACAGGCGCGTTCGCCTGGGGGGTTATGGGCGCACTGACCCGCTACTGAAACAAGCCCTTTTATCCCAATGGTCTAGTGGTTGGGATTCTGACAGTTGTTTCTGCTGCTGCCGATGTTGTTTCTGCTGCTGCCGATTGAATTGTTGCTAATGCTCTCGTTCTTTCTGTTTCAGGTATGGTGTGTGAATACCGGAAGCAGTTCGGACTGAAGTCGGGATCAAGATCCGGCGGGTTTGTCCAAGAGGTGAAGTTCACGATGGCGTCGCTGTCGGCGGTGCCTAAGTCTGGAACGAAGTCGAGGAGGAAAACGTTGTTCTTTAACACCGCTTTCCCGATGTAGAGTCCGCCTCTCCCGTGGTACAACTTGAATTCTTGGGTGGTGCTGTCTTCTTCGAGGTGGATGCCTTTCGCCATCAGCTGACTAACACTGAGTAAGTTGTAGCCGAGTCCCTCCGCGATTAAAACTTTTGACATCTACAGTATAGCGTTCGTCTCCCGTGACTGAAGCTGAACTACGCCTTGTCGTCTTGTGCGCAGGTTTTGGTTGTTGGCGACGGTGATAACGACTTCGCGTTGGAGTTGATGTTCTCGTTGGACGAAGCGACCCGAGGAGCACATGTGTTGTCCGCAGCAACTATCCAAGAACCAGGTGTCTTTCCCGGACGGCTCGCTTTGGGCGATAGCTGCGTACGTTGGGTTCAGCTGAAGTGACTCACGGCGAGGGGTGCTGTTGTTGAGTTGCTCTTCCGGTGAGTGATGCGGTGGTGACTCGGTGATGCAGGAATCGGCCAGTTTTGCCATGCAGCTGACGGTGTTTCTTGCTCCTTGTGTAGATTGTGTCGTTGATGTCGTTGAGGACTGCAGTTGACTCGTGGGGTGCGCCTGTGTGGATGCCATTTGACTACTTGAAGGACGAAGTTGGCGTTGCGGCGGAGTTGACTGCTGTCGATTCGGGCAGTGTGTGCGAGGGAGCCCTGATGTCTTGCAAATATGACAGAATGGAGGTACGGGTTTTGGTTGGTGCCGGTTGTTGTTGTTGTAGCGCTGTTGAGTATGAAATGCAAATTCGGGTACTGACGTTTTCTTCTTGTGCCGCTCCTCCTGCAGGTCCATGTCTTGCTGCTCAGCGTGAATCTCGGCGCAGAGTGCTGCTTCGGCGATTTTTCCGTGGGCTCGGAGAATGGCTCGGTTGGAGCGTCATTGAGGACGGAGGCCGCCGATGATGACTGTTACAAAGGCGTCTTCAGATATTGAGCCTTCGCATCGAAGAAGTTTGTCGCGCAATTCGCGACAACGACTGATATACGCCATTCCCTTTTCGCCAGGCTTCATTTCCACTGTTGTCAGCTATGCCATTAATCGACTCTGATTGACGCTGTCTGTTGCTTGATACAGGTTCTTCAAGTGGTTGTACGCAAGCTCGGCAGAGTTACCGTATCCTCGATAGGACCAAATGTTTTGCTGCTGGTTCGGTGTGATGTTGCGCAGTAGAATTATGTACGCCATCATGGACTAATATGTGTACTGCTGCTTGTCATATTGCGTCCCGTGTGTTGGGTATGGCAGGGACCCGTCGAAGAATCCAATGATTTGCGCGCCTTCCATCATCAGCTCAAACTCGAATGACCAGGTAAAGAAATCTTTACCGTCGAATGGCCTTGACGTTTGCGGTTTTAGGACGTGTGCAAACTGCGACTGAACTTGAAGTGCATCCAGAGTCTTCTCTTGCTCATGTGAAGGCTGCTGGCGCGGCATGAAGCTAACGGAACCGCGCTGGGGTGCGTACGGGGCGAAGGTAGGCTGCTGTTGCTGATTTCCTCGTGCGTAGGATCAACCGTCGAGGCTCATCGGTATCACATCGTTGTTGTTGTTGCTGATGTTTGACTGTGCAGGTGCTGTCAAACAATATATATATTGTTGTAGTTGTTTAGGCTACAGTGGGTTAGCCTATAGGGGGTACACACTTCTAGGTTTCCATATTTGTACTCATTTCATTCTTAGTCATTCCATTCCTTGTTCAACATGGTATAGAGCAGGTCCTTCCTAGGACCGTTTTTCCTAAGGGCCCACCACTACCTACCTGCCTTTCTGCCTACCTGCCCTAGGGCGCCTCGACGTTCACGCCTCTAGAGGCCCTGTAGGCCCCGCGCTGTTGCACCTAGAGGCCCCGAATCGGCCCCGCGCCTAACCCTAACGGCCCGCGTCGGCCCCGAGCTCGTCCCCTAGAGGCCCGCGTCGGCCCCGCGCCTACCCTAGAGGCCCGCGTCGGCCCCAAGCCTACCCCTAGAGGCCCGCGACGGCCCCGTCCTTACCCCTAGAGGCCCGCGACGGCCCCGTCCCTACCCCTAGAAGCCCGCGACGGCCCCGATCCTACCCCTAGAGGCCCGCGTCGGCCCCCGTCCCTACCCCTAGAGGCCCGCGTCGGCCCCGTCCCTACCCCTAACAGCCCGCGTCGGCCCGGTCCCTACCCCTTACAGCCCGCGTCGGCCCCATCCCTACCCCTTTCGGACCGCGCCGGCCCCGATCCTACCCCTTTCGGCCCGCGTCGGCCCCGTCCCCAACCCCACCCGCTCCCCGCGCTCCCCTTAGCCGCCTCGAACGGCCCCACCTAGACCGCGCCGCCCGCACCGAACAGCCCGGCCCTAACGGAACCAAGCCGCCCGAACCGAGCCGCCCGACCCAAGCCGCGCCGCCCTACCCGAGCCGCGCCGCCCGACCCGAGCCGCGCCGCCCGACCCGAGCCGCGCCGCCCTACCTATACCAAGCCGCGCCGCCCTACCTGTACTGAGCCGCGCCGCCCTACCTACCTACTGCTCCTACTACTTTTACTACTGCTGCTACCATGGCTAGCCCTCCAGTACTAGCCTTCGATGCTGAGGGGCGCCCAGTGAAGTTCGACACCTGGCTTGATGACCTACACCTCTTCCTACAGCTCACTGCCAAGGAAGACATCTCGCTGTACGATCACGCCCTAGGCCACGCTACTGCTCCTGCTGCTACTGCCGACAGCACTGCTCGCTCATAGTGGCAGACTCGTGACGCCCATGCTCGCTTCGCTATCCGCAACTCTCTGCCGATAGATGAGCGCGAGCACTTTGGGCAGCACAAGACTGCACAGGCACTGTACACTGCTGTCGTTGCCCGCTACTCCTCACCGGCCTCTGCTGCTCTAGGCCGTCTCTCTCTTCCCTACCTGTTCCCCGACTTAGCTTCCTTTCACACTGTCGCTGACCTCATTACCCACCTCCGCACTAGTGAGGCTCGCTTCCGCGCCGCTATGCCTGATGAGTTCCTCGCCACGAACCCACCCCCGCTCTGGATCACTCTCTACCACCTAGTCACGCGCCTCCCTGACTCGCTGCGCTCAGTCAGGGACCACTTCCTCGCTCGCTGCCCCACCGAGCTCACCATTGCCCTCCTCGAGAAGGAACTCCTTGCAGCCGAGACTAGCATAGTCGCTGTAGGTGCCTCTCGCGGTGACCCCCGCACCCCGTTCTTTGAGGGGTGTTCTCCCTCCCCCCTTCTTCCCTCTGTCGCCTCTGCTGCTGTCGACCTCCTTGGTGCTGAGAAGGTCGGGACTGCGTCTGCTTCGGGCGGACGCCGCAGCGGCAAGGGCAAAGGGGGCAAGGGCGGTGGTGGTGACAGCGGGGGTGGCGGTGGTGGGGGAGGTGGTGGCGGGGGGAGTGGCGCGGGTGGGGGAGGTGGCAGCGGTGGTGGGGGTGGCGGCAGCGGCAGGGGAGGTGGCCGGGGCGGAGGAGGTAGTAGGGGTGGCGGTGGACGAGGCGACGGCAGGGGTTGGGGTGGTCGAGGAGGTGGTGGCGGGAGTGGTGGGCGTGGCGGCACTGGCGGTGGCCAGGGACAGCAGCACACTCCCTCGCCCCAGGAGGTCCGTGAGTGGTACTCTCAGCACGGGGGGGGGGGGGTGGCCTTAGCTGCACGTACGTCATTCGCACTGGTGACCGCACTGGCCAGCCGTGTGGGGGACCGCACGCCACACAGCGTTGCTTCGCTCGTCTGAGCGACGCTTGGCGTGTTCAGTTCCCTCAGGCCACTGAGCTGCCCCGCTGGCTTGATCTCCTGAAGAAGGGGATTGATATCTATGCTCTAGATTTTGATGCTATTCTCTCTGCCATGTATGTGATGTCTACTAGTGGAGAGGGTTCTGAGTACCTGAGTGTCCCGCCCGACCCGGGCATTAGGACGAGTGCGTCTGCTGCTCCAGGTACCCACGTGTCTGCTACCCCAGGTGCTGGTGAGGCTGCTGCTCTAGGTGCGTGCGTGTCTGCCCCCCCTGGTACTGTGTCGACTGCACCACTGCACACCTTCACGCTGGATTCAGGTGCCTCTCGCTGTTTCTTTTGTGACCGCACTGCCCTTGAGCCCCTTGCTCGGCCAGTTGCTGTCTCCCTTGCTGACCCCTCTGGGGGTCCGGTCATTGCGACCTCCTCCACTGTCCTTCCCTGTCCTGCGGTCCCGTCGTACACACTGTCTGGTCTCCACCTCCCCTCGTTCTCCACGAACTTGGTGGCAGGTTCTGCTTTCCAGGACGGGGGTGTTCACCAGTTCACCCCTGCCTACGAGCGTGTGACACACTGCACGTGTGCTCGTACGGGCCGCCACTTGGCTACCTTCACCCGGCAGCCGGGGTCGGACCTGTACACACTGACTACTGCCTCCCCTCAGGTCGCTGCGTCTGCGTCTGCGTTTGCGTCCGCGTCAGGTCAGCTGTCTGCCCCCTGCTCGTGTCGCTCTCTAGCGCACGAGACTGTCCTCTGGCACCACCGACTTGGCCACCCGTCTGTGCAGCGCCTTCGTGCCATGCACTCCCGGTACCTTGTCTCTTGTCTTCCGAGGGTTCTCCCTCCTCTCCCACCCTCGCCTCCTCCTCCCTGCCTTCCCTGTGTCGAGGGGCGGCAGCGCGCCGCTCCTCACTCCTCCTCGTTTCCCCCGACGACTGCTCCTTTGCAGACGCTCCACATGGACGTGTGGGGCTTAGCCCGCGTCCGTGGTCAGGGTCAGGAGAGGTACTTCCTGATCGTTGTTGACGACTACTCGCGCTACACCACGGTCTTCCCCTTGCGCACCAAGGGTGAGGTCCCTGATGTTTTGATCCCTTGGATCCGCAGAGCTCGTCTCCAGCTCAGCGAGCGTTTCGGCTCGGACTTTCTTGTCCTGCGCTTGCACTCTGACAGAGGTGGTGAGTTCTCCTCCGACCTCTTGGCAGCCTACTGTGCTGAGCACGGCATTGAGCAGTCGTTCACGCTTCCGGCCTCTCCACAGCAGAATGGGGTTGCGGAGCGCCGCATTGGCCTGGTCATGGAGGTCGCTCGTACCTCCTTGATCCATGCGGCTGCCCCCCACTTTCTGTGGCCGTTTGCGGTCCGGTACGCTGCGCATCAGCTCAACCTCTGGCCCCGTGTCTCCTTGCCGGAGACCTCGCCCACACTGCTGTGGACGGGGGAGGTTGGCCATGCGTCGCGTTTCCGGGTCTGGGGATCTCGAGCTTTTGTCCGCGATTCGTCTGCGGACAAGCTCTCCTCTTGTGCTGTTCCCTGCGTCTTCCTCAGCTTTGTTCCGGACGCGCCTGGTTTGCAGTTTTACCACGCCACCTCGCGCCGGGTCTTGCCCTCTCAGAACGTCACTTTTGACGAGTCTGTCCCCTACTACCGCCTCTTCCCCTACCGCACTGCCCCGCTCCCACCCCCGCCTCTCTTCCTCGCGCCAGGTGCTGCTGTCGTAGACCCCCTCCCCCCTCAGGGTGCCGCTCCCTCAGGTGTGTCTCAGGTAGACCCGGTCGAGCCTGTTGAGGTTGCTGTCGACTCTCGTCCTACTGGGGGTGCTGAGCCTGGGGGTGCGGACTCTGGGGGTGCTGAGCCTGGGGGTGCGGACTCTGAGGGTGCTGAGTCTGGGGGTGCGGACGCTGGGGGTGCTGAGCCTGGGGGTGCGGACACTGGGGGTGCTGGGCCTGGGGGTGCGGACTCTGGGGGTGCTGAGCCTGGGGGTGCGGACTCTGGGGGTGCTTAGCCTGGGGGTGCGGACACTGGGGGTGCTGTGCCTGGGGGTGCTGAGCCTGGCGGTGCTGCGCCAGGGGGTCCTACGCCTGGACGAGACCTCTCCTCGGAGCAGTTGCGTGAGTGGTACTTACAGTACTGCAGCCTCCGGAGAGGTACCTCTGGGACCAGGCGCGCTTCGGAGACTGGTGCTGGCACTTCTCCTTCTAGTCGGGAGCTCCCCTCTCGTGAGCGGATCCGTGAGTGGTACGAGCGCCGTTGCACACTTCGTAGTGGCGTGCCTCGTCTCACGGACCCTGCTGCTGCTGGTGGTGCGGACCCAGGCGTTGGAGCTGCTGCTGGTGCTGCGGACCCGGGCGTTGGAGCTGCTGCTGGTGCTAAGGACCCGGGCGTTGGAGCTGCTACTGGTATTACGGACCCGGGCGTTGGAGCTGCTGCTGGTGCTGAGGACCCGGGCGTTGGAGCTGCTGCTGGTGCTGAGGACCCGGGCGGTGGAGCTGCTGCTGGTACTGCGGACCAGGGCGTTGGAGCTGCTGCTGGTGCTGAGGACCCGGGCGTTGGAGCTCTGACTGGTGCTGGGGACCCTGGTGTTAGAGTCCTTGCTGGTGCTGCGGACTCGGGAGTTGGTACTGCCGCTGGGGGCACTCGTGCTGTCCCTGCTGTGTCTGGAGTCGCCGCGCGCCCTCAGCCGTACTTCGTTCCGCTCCTTCAGCAGGTTCTTGGTCTCTCGCCTCCTCCTGGTCCTCCCCCTCCTTTAGTGTGTCCGCAGCCTGTTCAGTCACTGCCTGCTCCTTCTCCTTACTCTGGTCCTAATGCCGGTCTTACTGAGCGTCGTGAGCCTGTGTCTCGCCCTGCGTCGCCTGTCCGTCCTGCTAGCACTAGTGCTCGTAGTTCGCGTCCACGTCCTCCTCCTGCCCCTGGCACGCACCGGATGTCTCTGCGTCCTTCCACTGCTCCTCTGCGTGCCCCTTTGCCTTCTCCTCCTGCTTCCTCTCTTCCTGCTCTTGCCGACCCGGAGTCGGACTCTCTTCGTGCTGCCCGTCCTACTGTCACGCGTCTCCTTGCTACTGCCGTCACTGACCCTTCCTTCGAGTCTTCTGCTGCGTCTGCCCTAGTTGCTGAGCTCGTCGACTTTGCTGCTCGCTGTCGTCTAGACTACGCTGCTAGTCTTGTTGCTGAGTCTGAGTCTGTCTGTCCTCCGTCCGTCGGGGGTGCGTGTGCCCTTGGCACGGACGTCCTTGAGGACAGGCAGGAGGAGTTTCAGTGCTTGGCTGCCGCCTCACCTCATCTCGCGTCTGTACTGCTAGCCCCTGAGGGAGACCCGGATGCACTAGACATCCCGACCCCGCGCTCTTACGCGGAGGCGATAGAGGGTCCCTACTCCTCTCAGTGGCAGGCAGCTATGGATGCAGAGATGGCTTCCTGGAAGTCCACAGGCACCTACGTTGACGCTGTCCCCCCTCCTGGGGCGAACATCGTCAGTGGCATGTGGATCTTCAGGGTGAAGCGGCCGCCGGGTTCTCCGCCTGTCTTCAAGGCGCGTTACGTGGCTCGTGGCTTCAGTCAGCGGCAGGGAGTTGACTACTTTCAGACCTTCTCCCCCACCCCGAAGATGACCACTCTTCGGGTACTCCTGCACGTTGCTGCTCACAGGGACTATGAGCTTGACTCTCTCGACTTCAGCACTGCTTTCTTGCAGGGCAGCCTGCACGAGGAGATCTGGCTGCGTCGCCCACCTGGCTTCACTGGGTCTTTCCCTCCTGGTACCCAGTGGAGTCTCCGGCGTCCAGTCTACGATCTCCGCCAGGCGCCACGTGAGTGGCATGACACACTGAGGACTACGCTGGCGGCACTTGGGTTTGCTCCTTCTACTGCCGACCCGTCGCTATTTCTGCGCACCGACACTTCTCTGCCGCCGTTCTACATCCTCGTGTACGTCGACGACTTGGTCTTTGCCACTGCTGACACTGCTGGACTCGCCTACGTGAAGTCCGAGCTGCAGAAGAGACACACGTGCACTGACCTGGGTGAACTGCGCAGCTACCTTGGCTTGCAGATCACCCGGGACAGAGCACGCCGCACCATTACCCTGACTCAGTCACACATGGTGCAGCAGGTCCTTCGGCGCTTCGGCTTCACGTACTCCTCGCCTCAGGCCACTCCTCTGTCTACTCACCACTCGCTCTCAGCTCTGCCTTCGGATGAGTCCGTAGAGTCGAGTGGCCCGTACCCAGAGCTTGTTGGCTGCCTCATGTACCTGATGACCTGCACGCGACCTGACCTTGCATACCCTCTTAGCATTCTTGCGCGCTATGTTGCTCCTGGGAGACACCGACCAGAGCACATGGCTGCAGCGAAGAGGGTGTTGCGCTACTTGTGCAGTACGTCGGGCATGGGACTAGTGCTTGGAGGGCGGAGTCCACTGGTCCTCACTGGTCACGCGGACGCTTCTTGGGCTGACGACCAGGCTACGCAGCGGTCGTCACAGGGTTACACCTTCAGCCTTGGTTCAGTCTCTGTTTCGTGGCGGGCTACTCGCTCGTCTTCTGTTCTCGGCTCCAGTTGTGAGGCTGAGATCTACGCTGGGGCCATGGCTACTCAGGAGCTTCGCTGGCTCACCTACCTGCTGACCGACCTTGGAGAGCCGCCTCGTTCTCCTCCAGTCTTGTACGTTGACAACAAGGCCATGCTGGCCTTGTGTCGAGAGCAGAGACTGGAGCACAAAACAAAGCACATTGCTCTCCGCTACTTCCTTGCTCGTGAGCTACAGCAGCGTGGGCAGTTGCGACTTGCGTACGTGGCCTCTGAGGCCAACACTGCTGATGTTTTCACCAAGGCACTTGCGCCTTGTGATCATCAGCGCTGCTGTACCCAGCTGGGTCTTGTGTCTGTCTTGCCTCACTTGCTCTCCTCTTGACCCTCTTTGTACTGTTACATATATATATCACTGCTCTTGCTTGTTTAGTCTTATATATATATATATGTACTCCTGCATGTGAACTGGCCTTGTGGCCTTGAACTTGTGCCCGGATTGTGTGGTGACATTGTGATCCACCCTGAGCTTGCTTTGCTTTACTTGACTGGTCTTGTGACCCCTAGTTCTCCCCCACTTCGCCTATGGGGGTGTGTCAAACAATATATATATTGTTGTAGTTGTTTAGGCTACAGTGGGTTAGCCTATAGGGGGTACACACTTCTAGGTTTCCATATTTGTACTCATTTCATTCTTAGTCATTCCATTCCTTGTTCAACAGGTGCCCCTTGCTCGTGTTGTTCGTAGAAGGATATGAAGGAGAAGAACTTCTCCATCATGCTTGGGTCGAAGCCCGCGGCTTGATTTGCGGGAGTTTCAGTGGACCCTACTGCTGGTCTTGTTGCCGTGCCCTCCTCTGTCTGTTGACCAGAGGCAGGAGGTGGGGTAGGAGTAGTGCCGGGAGAACCATTAGAGGGACTTCTCTCCTTTTGTGTTGCCATGCCTCTTGTTGTTGTAGGTGTCTTGATAGTGGTTGAGTTTGCCCTGATAGCTCTCATACCATGTTGGGCTGAGAAAAGCCCTTAGGATATTTGAAGGACTAAACTCTAAGTAGGAACAATGTAATAGCGGAAGCGTTTTAATGATAAGTCCTTGAACCACCTGTCAGAATATTATAGCTTACTTATTTGTGTAGGCTATAGTGGGGTATCCCATAGGGGGTACAACCCAACTAGGGTTTCCTATTTGTACTCACTTCATTCGTAGTCATTTCCATTCACGTTCCTTTCTTCACATGGAATCAGAGCAGGTCCCATCCTAGGGACTGTTCTTTAGGGCCCACCGAAGCGCGCCCGAGGCGCGCGTCTTTTTTTAGCGACCCTCCGAGTCGCCCTTTTCCTTCGCGGCCCCGCCGCCCTACTTCGCGGCCCGACCGCCGCCCTACTCGCGGCCCAGCCGCCGCCCTACCTTAGCGGCCCACCCGCCGCCCTTGCTAGCGGCCCCGCCGTCCCGTCGCGGCCCCGCCACCCAGTCGCGGCCCCGCTACCCCTACGCGCGGCCCCGCCACTCCGTAGCGGCCCCGCCACCCCTTCGAGCGGCCCCGCCACTCCGTCGTGGCCCCGCCACCCAGTCGCGGCCCCGCTACCTCTTCGCGCGGCCCCGCCACTTCGTCGCGGCCCCGCCACTCCTTCGAGCGGCCCCGCCACTCTATCGCGGCCCACCCGCCGCCCTACCTGCGGCCTCCCCGCCGCCCTACCTGCGGCCGTCCGCCGCCCTACCTGCGGCCGTCCCGCCGCCCTACCTGCGGCCTACCCGCCGCCCTACCTGCGGCCTACCCGCCGCCCTACCTGCGGCCGTCCGCCGCCCTACCTGCGGCCGTCCCGCCGCCCTACCTGCGGCCTACCCGCCGCCCTACCTGCGGCCCGCCTGGCCGCCCTACCTACGCGGCCTAGTAGCAGCCGAGCCGCCCGGAGCAGCCGAGCCGCCCAGGAGCCACCGAGCCGCCCAGCAGCAGCCGAGCCGCCCAGCAGCAGCCGAGCCGCCCGGAGCCGCCGAGCTGCCCAGCAGCAGCCGAGCCGCCCGGAGCCGCCGAGCCGCCCAGCAGCAGCCGAGCCGCCCAGGAGCCGCCGAGCCGCCCAGCAGCAGCCGAGCCGCCCAGCAGCAGCCAAGCCGCCCGGGAGCCGAGCCGCCCAGCAGCCTAGCGGCCGTGTCGTCAGGCGACCTTCCTCCCGAGCCTCCCGACCTGCCCTGCCCGGTGAGCACTGCACTGCTGTCACTGCGTACCATTCCCCTACTGCTTGCACTGCGCCACTGTCGTCGTCATGGCTACACCCAGTGTCCTCGCTTTTGACGCTGAGGGTCGAGCCATTGACTTTGAGGTCTGGCTTGACGACCTGCAGCTGTTTTTACAGTGCGACAGGGCCGACGGTCTGTCTCTCTTTGACCTCACCTCTGGCGCCGTCCCTACCCCTGCTGCTGATGCTGACGCCACTGTTCGCTCTCAGTGGGCCACGCGCGATGCTGCTGCACGTCTTGCTGTGCGTCGCCACCTGCCTACCGCTGAGCGCGCGCACTTTAGCCAGTACAAGAGTGCTCTGACCTTGTACGACGCTGTAGTTGCGCGCTACTCCTCCCCTGCCACTGCTGGACTGAGCCGCCTCATGCTCCCCTTCCTCTTCCCTGACCTTGCCGCCTTTCCCACTATCGCTGATCTCATCACGCACCTCCGCACTAGTGACACTCGCTACCGCGCTGCGCTTCCTGCTGACTTCTGCGCCAAGAACCCCCCCCCCATGTACATCACTCTCTACTTCCTAATCACTCGCCTCCCTGACTCCCTTCGTGTAGTCCGGGACCACTTCCTCGCGGTCTGTCCCACCACCCTCACAGTCGACAGCCTCGAGAAGGCCCTCCTTGCAGCAGAGAAGAGCATAGTTGCTGTAGGAGCCTCTCGAGGTGACCCCCGCGCCCCCATCTTTGAGGGGTGTTCTCCTTCCCCTCTCCTGCCCTCTGTCGCCTCTGCCGCTGCGGCCGACCTCGTTGGTCTTGAGTCGGTCGGTGCGGCGTCTGCCCCTAGCGGGAGACGCCGCTCTGGCAAGGGCAAGGGGGGCAAGGGAGCGGGTGGGGCCAGTGGGGGCGGTGGCGGTGGAGGTGGAGGCGGCGGAGGGAGTGGGGGTGGCGGTGGAGGTGGTAGCGGGGGTGGGGGTGCTAGTGGCGGCAGTGGAGGCGGGAGTGGCGGCGGCGGTGGCGGTGGTAGCGGAGGTGGCGGAGGTGGCGGCGGTGGAGGTGGAGGCGGGGGCGGTGGAGGCGGAGGCGGGGGTGGCGGAGGTGGAGGTGGTCGGAGTGGAGCTTCGCAGCGGAGCGGCACTGGTGGCGGTCAGCGCCAGCAGCAGCAGCAGCGTTCTCGCGACGTCCCCACCCCTCAGCAGCTCCGTGAGTGGTACACGCAGCGTCAGCGCGGTGGGGGTTTTGGTCCCTGCACCTACGTTCTCCGCACTGGCGACCGCACTGGAGAGCAGTGTGGGGGTGCCCACCCCGCCCAGCGCTGCTTTGGCCGCCTGACGGACGCTTGGCGTCAGCAGTTCCCGGAGGCCGCGGAGATCCCCCGCTGGGGAGAGCTGTCTAGGGCTGGTGTAGCTATCTTTGATCTTGATTTTGATGCTATCCTTGCTGCCATGTATGCTGTGACCATTAGTGATGAGGGTGACTGTTACCGGTGTTTCCCGCCCGACCCGGGCATTGGTACTGCTGCTCCAGGTGCCGGTGAGGCTTCTGCTCTAGGTGCCAGTGCGTCTGTGCTCTCAGGTGCTAGTGAGACTGCTCTCTCAGGTACTAGTGCGTCTGCGCTCTCAGGTACTGCGTCGGCTTCGGCCTCCCACACCTTCACTCTTGACTCTGGAGCGTCTCGCTCTTTCTTTCGGGACCGCACCACACTTACGCCGCTTCGTCGGCCGGTTGCGGTTTCCCTGGCTGACCCCTCTGGGGGTCCTGTCCTGTCTCGCTTCTCCACAGTCCTCCCGTGTCCGGCGGCTCCCTCTGGCACCCTGTCTGGTCTCTACCTCCCCTCGTTCTCTACGAACTTGGTGAGTGGTGCTGACCTATAGGATGCGGGAGTCCACCAGTTCACCCCTGCTCGTCAGCGAGTGACGCACTGCACAGATGCTAGCACGGGTCGTCACTTGGCTACGTTTACACGTCAGCCAGGGTCAAGCCTGTACACACTGACCACTGCTTCTCCTCCAGGTGCTGAGTCTGGTAGAGTCCCTTCGTCTGGTCAGGTGTTTGCTGCAGCGTCCAGGTCTGGTCCTGAGTCTGCCCCCTGTTCGTGTCGCCGTCTGTCTCACGAGACCCTCCTCTGGCACCACCGCCTTGGCCACCCCTCTCTGCTTCGGCTCAGAGGCATGGCCTCCCGTCTTCTTGTGTCTGGTCTCCCCCGGTCTCTACCTCCCCTTCCTCAGGGCCCTGGCCCTGCCTGTGTCCCCTGTGTCGAGGGGCGCCAGCGTGCTGCCCCTCACTCCTCCCAGTTTCCTCCGACAGAGGCTCCGTTGCAGACGCTTCACATGGACGTGTGGGGCCCTGCCCGCGTCCGTGGACTCGGTCACGAGCGCTACTTCTTGTTGGTGGTTGACGACTACTCGCGTTACACCACAGTCTTCCCCTTGCGCAGCAAGGGTGATGTCACTGAGGTGCTGATCGACTGGATCCGCGCAGCTCGTCTCCAGCTCAGGCAGAGCTTTGGCTCGGACTTTCCTGTATTGCGTCTGCACTCGTACAGAGGCGGAGAGTTCTCCTCTGGCCTTCTGAGAGCCTAGTGTCGCGCGCGAGGCATTTGCCAGACCTTCACGCTTCCGGACTCCCCGCAGCAAAATGGGATTGCAGAGCGCCGCATTGGCATGGTCATGGACGTCGCTCGTACGTCCATGATGCATGCGGCTGCCCCCCATTTTCTGTGGCCGTTTGCGGTCAGGTACGCAGCGCATCAGATCAACCTCCACCCCAGGGTCTCCAGGCCGGAGACCTCCCCAGCCCTGCTGTGGACGGGGAAGGTTGGCGATGCGTCGGCGTTCCGGGTCTGGGGATCTCGGGCGTTTGTCCGCGACTTGTCTGCGGACAAGCTGTCCCCTCGCGCTGCTCCCTGCGTCTTCCTGGGGTTCCCCCCCGACGCCCCTGGGTGGCAGTTCTACCACCCCACCTCTCGACGTGTTCTGTCCTCCCAGGACGTCACGTTCGACGAGTCGGTACCCTACTACCGCCTCTTCCCCTACCGCACTCCCTCCCTCCCCCCGCCCCCGCTCTTCTTGGTACCAGGTCCCCCCCCAGTAGACCCCCTCCCCCCTCAGGGTCCTGCCCCTTCAGGTGTGTCCCAGGTAGACGCGGTCGAGCCTGTCGAGGTCACTGGTGACTCTGGTGCTGCTGCGCGAGCTGAGCCTGGGAGTGCTGAGCCTGGAGGTTCTACACTTGGGGGTTCTGAGCCTGGGGGTGCAGAGTCTGGAGGTGCTGAGCCTGGGGGTACTGAGTCTGGGGGTGCTGAGCCTGGGGGTGCTGGGCCTGGGGGTGCTGAGCCTGGGGGTGCTGAGCCTCGGGGTGCTGGGCCTGAGGGTGCTGAGCCTGGGGGTGCTGAGACTGGGGGTGCTACGCCTGGAGGTGCTTCGTCTCGTCGAGAGCCACTCCCCCCACAGGAGCTGCGTGAGTGGTTTGCCCGGCGCTGGAGGCGTGCTGCTGGTGCTGGAGGTTCTTCGGCTGCAGAGGGTACTGCTGCCGAGCGTCCCGGAGGTGCTCGTACTGTGGGTGCTGGAGCTGCTGGGTCTGAGGGTTCTCCTGGAGCTGGTGCTGCTGAGGGTGTTGGCGCTGAGACTGCCGCTGACGGTCCGACTGGCAGTGCTCCTGGTGGTGCTGCTAGAGGTTCTGGAGCTACTGGAGGTGCTGCTGGAGGTGCTGCTGGAGCGAGTACTCCTGCTCGGGGTACTGGTGCTGTCCCTGCTGTTCCTGGCGTCGCCGCGCGGCCCCGACCGTACTTCGTTCCGCTCCTACAGCAGGTTCTTGGTCTTACACCTTCTCCTGGTCCTCCTCCTCCTCCCTTAGAGGGTCCACAGCCTGTCTCGTCACAGTCACAGCTACAGCCTGCCTCCCCTTTGCCTGCTCCTTCTCCCTACGCTGGTTCGACTGGAGGTCTTACCGAGCGTAGTGAGCCTGCGTCTCGTTCTGCGTCGCCTGTTCGCACTTTGCGCGCTAGTGGTCGCGGTTCGCGTCAGCGTCCTCCTCCTGTCCCTGGCACGCACCGGATGTCTCTGCGTCCGTCTACTGCTCCCCTGCGTGCCCCTTTGCCTTCTCCTCCTGCTTCCTCTCTTCCTGCTCTTGCCGACCCGGAGTCGGACTCTCTTCGTGCTGCCAGTCCTACTGTCACGCGTCTCCTTGCTACTAGTGTCACTGACCCTTCTTTCGAGTCTTCTGCTGCGTCTGCCCTTGTCACTGAGCTCGTCAACTTTGCTGCGCGCTGTCATCTAGACTACGCTGCTAGTCTTGTCGCTGAGTCTGAGTCTGCCTGTCCTCCGTCCGTCGGGGGTGAGTGTGCCCTTGGCACGGACGTCCTTGAGGACAGGCAGGAGGAGTTCCAGTGTCTGGCCGCCGCTTCACCTCATCTCGCGTCTGTACTGCTAGCCCCTGAAGGAGACCCGGATGCACTAGACATCCCGACTCCGCGCTCTTACGCGGAGGCGATAGAGGGTCCCTACTCCTCTTAGTGGCAGGCAGCTATGGATGCAGAGATGGCTTCCTGGAAGTCCACAGGCACCTACGTTGACGCTGTCCCCCCTCCTGGGGCGAACATCGTCAGTGGCATGTGGATCTTCAGGGTGAAGCGGCCGCCGGGTTCTCCGCCTGTCTTCAAGGCGCGTTACGTGGCTCGTGGCTTCAGTCAGCGGTAGGGGGTTGACTACTTTCAGACCTTCTCCCCCACCCCGAAGATGACCACTCTTCAGGTACTGCTGCACGTTGCTGCTCACATTGACTACGAGCTGCACTCTCTCGACTTCAGCACAGCTTTCTTGCAGGGCAGCCTGCACGAGGAGATCTGGCTGCGTCGCCCACCTGGCTTCACTGGGTCTTTCCCTCCTGGTACCCAGTGGAGTCTCCGGCGTCCAGTTTACGGTCTCCGCCTGGCGCCACGTGAGTGGCATGACACACTGAGGACTACACTGGCGGCACTTGGGTTTGCTCCTTCTACTGCTGACCCGTCGCTGTTTCTGCGCACCGACACCTCTCTGCCGCCGTTCTACATCCTCGTGTACGTCGACGACTTGGTCTTTGCCACAGCTGACACTGCTGGACTCGCCTACGTGAAGTCCGAGCTGCAGAAGAGACACACGTGCACTGACCTGGGTGAACTGCGCAGCTACCTTGGCTTGCAGATCACCCGGGACAGAGCACGCCGCACCATTACCCTGACTCAGTCACACATGGTGCAGCAGGTCCTTCAGCGCTTCAGCCTCAGGCCACTCCTCTGCCTACTCACCACTCGCTCTCAGCTCTGCCTTCGGATGAGTCCGTAGAGTCGAATGGCCCGTATGCAGAGCTTGTTGGCTGCCTCATGTACCTGATGACCTGCACACGACCTGACCTTGCATACCCTCTTAGCATTCTCGCACGCTATGTTGCTCCTGGGAGACACCGACCAGAGCACATGGCTGCAGCGAAGAGGGTGTTGCGCTACTTGTGCAGTACGTCGGGCATGGGGCTAGTGCTTGGAGGGCGCAGTCCAGTGGTCCTCACTGGGCACGCGGACGCTTCTTGGGCTGACGACCAGGCTACGCAGCGGTTGTCACAGGGTTACACCTTCAGCCTTGGTTCCGGCTCTGTTTCGTGGCGGGCTACCCGCTCGTCTTCTGTTCTCGGCTCCAGTTGTGAGGCTGAGATCTACGCCGGGGCTATGGCTGCACAGGAGTTACGCTGGCTCACCTACCTGTTGACCGACCTTGGAGAGCCGCCTCGTTCTCCTCCAGTGATGTACGTAGACAACAAGGCCATGCTGGCCTTGTGTCGAGAGCAGCGACTGGAGCACAGGACAAAGCACATTGCTCTCCGCTACTTTCTTGCTCGTGAGCTACAGCAGCGTGGACAGTTGCGACTTGCGTACGTGGCCTCTGAGGCCAACACTGCTGATGTCTTCACCAAGGCACTTGCGCCTTGTGATCATCAGCGTTGCTGCACGCAGCTGGGCCTTGTGCCTGTCTTGCCTCACTTGCTCACTTCTTGACCTTGCTTGTACCTTGACCTATATATACTCTTGCTCTTGCTTACTTGACTCTTGTATATCTCTATATATGGCCTTGCATGTGAACTGGCCTTGTGGCCCTTGAACTTGTGCTCGGAATGTGTGGTGACTTTGTGATCCACCCTGAGCTTTGCTTTGTTTTGCTTGACTGGTCTTGTGACCCCTTGTTCTCCCCCACTTTGCCTATGGGGGTGTGTCAGAATATTATAGCTTACTTATTTGTGTAGGCTATAGTGGGGTATCCCATAGGGGGTACAACCCAACTAGGGTTTCCTATTTGTACTCACTTCATTCGTAGTCATTTCCATTCACGTTCCTTTCTTCACACCACCTTGCGCTGGTATGTGAGCGCAAAGTACCGTCATACCCCATATAGAAGCGCAGGCCTTGGATAAGCGCCGGCGCTTATAAAAGGATGACGGCGCTTTTATCCCGTCCTCGATTATAAGTGCACCCTTTAGACCCTTACGGATTATAAGCGCACCCCCCTAAACTGCACTACATGTATATACGTTTCAAATTCGATTAATTACTATTTTTATTAGTCGTTACAACTCCAATTCAAAAGCGTATCTTCATTTCTATTCTAAACTACATATTCTACTTCATTATTAGCTACAAATTCTACAAGATCCTGTCAAATTATAATATTGTGTAGGCTATAGTGGGGTAGTCTATATGGGGTACACATTTCTAGGGCTGCATATTTGTATCACTTCCATTCCTTAGTCAATTCATTCTCGTTATGCTTTTCTCATGGTATCGAGTAGGTTCCCCCTTGGGAACTGTGCCTAGGGTCCACCACATCGAGTTTCACTTTTTTTTTCTCCTGCCCGAAGCGCGCTCCACCCGAGTCGCGCTCCGGGCTCTCACCTCGCCGAGCCGCCCTAGCGGCCCTATCGCCCTAGCGGCCCCTTCCCCTAGCGGCCCCGCCGCCTGTCGATTCGGCCCCGCCGCCCTTTCGTGCGGCCGCGCCGCCCGTCTTAGCGGCCCCGCCGCCCTTCTCAGCGGCCCCGTCGCCCCGCATTGCGGCCCCGCTGCCCGTCTCCGCGGCCCCGCCGCCCGTCTCCGCGGCCTCGCCGCCCCTCGCTGCGGCCCCGCCGCCCTACTCAGCGGCCCCGCCGCCCTTCTCCTCAGCGGCCCCGCCGCCCTTCTCCTCAGCGGCCCCGCCGCCCTACTCAACGGCCCCGCCGCCCTTCTAATCAGCGGCCCCGCCGCCCTTCTCCTCAGTGGCCCCGCCGCCCTTCTCCTCAGCGGCCTCGCCGCCCTTCTCCTCAGCGGCCCCGCCGCCCTACTCAGCGGCCCCGCCGCCCTTCTACTCAGCGGCCCCGCCGCCCTTCTCCTCAGTGGCCCCGCCGCCCTACTCAGCGGCCCCGCCGCCCTTCTCCTCAGCGGCCCCGCCGCCCTACTCAGCGGCCCCGCCGCCCTTCCATAGCGGCCTCGCCGCCCTTCTCAGCGGCCCACCCGCCCCTCGCACCAGCGGCCCTGCCGCCCTACACCGCCCGCGCCGCCCGAGCCGCCCGACCTGCCCGAGCTGCCCGGGCCGCCCGAGCCGCCCGACTCTCCTGAGCCGCCCGAGCCGCCCAACCAGCCTGAGCGGCCCGAGCTGCCCGAGCCGCCCGAGCCACCCAAGCCGCCTGAGCCGCCCGAGCCGCCTGAGGAGCCGAGCCGCTGGTGCCACGGAGCCGCAGTTGCTGCTGTGCCGTCCAAGCAGTCGTGTTGCCGTGCTGCTGTACCGCTGAGCTGCCCGACCCGCCCTGCCTGGTGAGAGCAGCGCTTCTGTCACTGCACTGCCCCTGTCCTACAGTTGGTACTGCTAGTCCACTTCTGTCATGGCTACCCCCAGTGTTCTCGCTTTTGACGCTGAGGGTCGAGCCATTGACTTTGAGGTTTGGGTGGATGACCTGCAGCTTTTCCTACAGTGCGATAGGGCAGACGGTCTTTCCCTCTTTGACCTCACCTCTGGTGCTTCCCCTGCCCCTGCTGTCGATGCCGACGCCACTGTTCGCTCCCAGTGGGCCACTCGCGATGCTGCTCCACGTCTTGCTGTGCGTCGCCACCTGCCTACCACTGAGCGCGCGCACTTTAGCCAGTACAAGAGTGCTCAGACCTTGTACGACGCTGTCGTTGCACGCTACTCCTCCCCTGCCACTGCAGCACTGAGCCGCCTCATGCTACCGTACCTCTTTTCTGACCTTGCTGCCTTTCCCACAGTCGCTGACCTCATTACGCACCTCCGCACTAGTGACACTCGCTACCGCGCCGAGCTTCCTGCTGAGTTCTGCGCCAAGAACCCCCCCCCCCATGTACATCACTCTCTATTATATAGTCACCCGCCTCCCTGACTCTCTTCGTGTAGTCAGGGACCACTTCCTCTCAGTCTGTCCCACCACTCTCACTGTTGACCTCCTAGAGAAGGCCCTCCTAGCGGCGGAGAAGAGCATAGTCGTTGTAGGAGCCTCTCGTGGTGACCCTCGCACCCCCATCTTTGAGGGGTGTCCCCTTCCCCCCTGTTGCCCTCTGTCGCCTCTACTGCTGCGGCCGACCTCGTTGGTCTTGAGTCGGTCGGTGCGGCGTCTGCCCCTAGCGGGAGACGCCGCTCTGGCAAGGGCAAGGGGGGCAAGGGCGCGGGTGGAGCTAGCGGGGGTGGTGGAGGTTGCGGTGGAGGCAGCGGAGGGAGTGGGTGTGGCGGTGGGAGTGGTGGCGGGGGTGGAGGTGGCGGTGGCATAAGCGCAGGCGGAGGCGGCGGGGTGGTAGCGGTGGGAGCGAAGGCGGCGGTGGTGGCGGAGGTGGAGGCGGCGGTGGTGGAGGAGGTGGAGCTGGTCGGGGTGGTGCTTCGCAGCGGAGCGGCTCCGGGGGTGGTCAGCGCCAGCAGCAGCAGCAGCGTTCTCGGGACATCCCCCCTCCTCAGCAGCTGCGTGAGTGGTACACGCAGCGTCAGCGTGGTGGGGGTTTTGGCCCGTGCACCTACGTCCTTAGCTCCGGCGACCGCGCGGGTGAGCAGTGTGGGGGTGCTCACCCCACCCAGCGCTGCTTTGGCCGCCTGACGGACGCTTGGCGTCAGCAGTTTCTGGAGGCTAGTGAGATCCCCCGCTGGGGAGAGCTGTCTAGGGCAGGCGTAGCTATCTTTGATCTTGACTTTGATGCTATCCTTCCTGCAATGTATGCTGTGACTATTAGTGATGAGGGTGACTGTTACCGGTGTTTCCCGCTTGACCCGGGCATTGGTACTGCTGCTCAAGGTGCTGGTGAGGCTGCTGCTCTAGGTGCCAGTGCGTCCACGCCCTCAGGTGCTGGTGAGTCTGCGCTCTCAGGTACCACGTCGGCTTCGGCCTCCCTCACCTTCACACTTGACTCAGGGGCTTCTCGCTCCTTCTTTCGAGACCGCACCACACTCACGCCGCTTGGTAGGCCGGTTGCAGTCTCCCTGGCAGACCCCTCTGGGGGTCCTGTCCTCTCTCACTTCTCCACTGTCCTCCCGTGTCCGGCTGCCCCCTCTGGCACCTTGTCTGGTCTTTACCTCCCCTCGTTCTCTACGAACCTGGTGAGTGGTGCTGACCTGCAGGATACGGGGGTTCACCAGTTCACTCCTGCGAGTCAGCGGGTGACCCACTGCACGGACGCTCGGACAGGCCGACACCTGGCCACGTTTACACGTCGGCCGGGGTCGAGCCTGTACACACTGACCACTGCGTTTCCTCCAGTCACTTCGTCTGGTCAGGTAGCTCCGTCGGGTCAGGTGTTAGCTGCAGCGTCCAGGTCTGGTCCTGAGTCTGCCCCTTGCTCGTGTCGCCTCCTGTCTCACGAGACTCTCCTCTGGCACCACCGTCTTGGTCACCCCTCCTTGCCTCGTCTCCGAGGCATGGCTTCCCGTGTCCTTGTCTCTGGTCTTCCCCGGTCCCTCCCTCCCCTTCCTCCGGGGCCTGGTCCTTCCTGTGTCCCCTGTGTCAAGGGGCGGCTCCGGGCTGCCCCTCACTCCTCTCAGTTTCCCCCGACAGATGCCTCGCTACAGACGCTTCACATGGACGTGTGAGGCCCAGCCCGCGTCCGTGGACAGGGTCACGAGCGCTACTTCCTGCTGGTGGTTGACGACTACTCGCGTTACACCTCAGTCTTCCCCTTGCGCAGCAAGGGTGATGTCGCTGAGGTGTTGATCGACTGGATCCGCGCAGCTCGTCTTCAGCTCAGGAGGAGCTTCGGGTCGGACTTTCCTGTTCTGCGTCTGCACTCTGACTGAGGCGGAGAGTTCTCCTCTGGCCTTCTGCGAGCCTACTGTCGTGCGCGAGGCATCCGCCAGACCTTTACGCTACCGGACTCTCCACAGCAAAATGGGATTGCTGAGCGCCGCATTGGCATGGTCATGGACGTCGGTCGTACGTCCATGATGCATGCGCCTGCCCCCCATTTTCTGTGGCCGTTTGCGGTTCGGTACGCGGCGCATCAGATCAACCTTCACCCCAGGGTCTCCAGGCCGGAGACCTCCCCAGCCTTGCTGTGGACGGGGAAGGTCGGCGATGCGTCTGCGTTCCGTGTCTGGGGATCTCGGGCGTTTGTCCGCGACTTGTCTACGGACAAGCTGTCCCCTCGTGCTGCTCCCTGTGTCTTCCTTGGCTTCCCCCCTGACGCCCCTAGGTGGCAGTTCTACCACCCCACCTCTCGTCGTGTTCTGTCCTCCCAGGACGTCACGTTCGATGAGTCAGTCCCCTACTACCGCCTCTTCCCCTACCGCACTCCTTCCCTCCACCCGCCACCGCACTTCCTTGTGCCAGGTCCCCCCCCGGTAGATCCCCTCCCCCCTCAGGGTCCTGCCCCTTCAGGTGTGTCCCAGGTAGACGCAGTCGAGCCGGTCGAGGTTGCTGGTGACTCTGGTACTGCTGCGGGTGCTGAGCCTGGGGGTGCTGACTCTGGGGGTGCTACGCGCGTGGGTGCTGAGCCTGGGGGTGCTGAGTCTGGGGGTGCTGCGACTGGGGGTGCTGAGCCTG